GCCAAACCACAGCCCATCTAAGTAGGGTTTAGAAGAACCTCTTTACGTTTCTGGTTGAGGGGTCGGGGCCGGCCCCCCGGCACCCAGAACGAGCCCTTACCGATGGGGAGCCAAAGCCCTGAACCCTAAACCCTAAACCTCTAGTTACGCCCTAAGCCCTAAACCCCTCAACCCCAAACCCTAAACCCTTAAACCCTAAACCCTAAACCCCTCAACCCCAAACCCTAAACCCTGAAGCCCTAAACCCTAAACCCGAAACCTTTAGAGTTTAGGGCTTTTGGTGTAGACTTCTCGATCCTCGACGCTGTAGGCTGGGCGGATGTTATCTGCGTGACGGAGCAGCCTGGACCATGTTGAGTTGGTAGCAGTAGTAGTAGTAGTAGTAGTAGTAGTAGTAATAATATTTCATTAGTAATAGGAGGCTCCAGGATTCTTGGAGCCGCAGCAGGCAATGCAACCTCAAGCTCTTAACTCCATAGTGGGGAAACCTTCATTTCGTTGAGGTTTATTGGACTCTTGCTTGGTGCCTGTGCTTCAGGCCTCCGTTCTGCACAAGGTTCCTGTCCTAGGCACGTCCTCGTACTTCAGTATATGCAGGGCATCATGTCCCTAATCCCCAGCCCTAAACCCTCAGCAAAGCTTGAAGCACAGTTTCATCCCGTCGAATTGTCCTCAGTTCCCGGGCATCAACGCACTCAGGCTCCTCAACCAACGGGCTTCCTTCCTCAAGCCTTACATCGCTTCGAGGCCCCTTTGATGAAGATGTTGGACCGAAAGGTCCTAGACCCAGAAAGGGTTTAGGGGTTTAGGGTTTAGGGTGAAGCCCGAAATACACTTAAATCCTGTTAAAATCAAGCCCTAATTTCAAGGCCCGTAACGGTTTAGAGTTTGGGGTTCTTAGACCACAAACCCTTAACGTCCCAGATCTTCAAACCCAGGTACAGCTGCTTTGTTGGGATGCTCACCGGCAATTTGATCAAGCGCCTTGCCTTGGGCTGTTGGGAACTGAATAGGTGAACACAGGTTCAACCTATTCTGATTGAGATTTTGAAGGTGCAAACAGTTACGTAGCTCTTAGCCACCAGGTATGTGATTCAGCCTTTCCCGAATGAAGACGGTTCAGGGGTTTAGAGTTTTGGAGGCTTTGTGGTACAGGGCTTAGCAAGCTTATGAGAGTTCTGAGAGGTGTGATGCAGGCATTCGGCTCGTCCTCAGAGGTCTCATCGATTGTTCTCGTTACTTTGTCTCGTCAAAGATGCTGTAGTGGCTGCCTTCCGTCGTGCTTTCCTCAAATGCAAGAAGCCCTTGTTTTGAGGACATCACGCTCCCAGCGATGCTTTCCCTGACACGTCCGAGCTGGTGCGAAAGCCACCAGCTCGCGCAAAGTCCGAGCATATGAGCCCACGCAAGTTCGAAAATCCCGAAAGGCCCTCGACGCCTGGACCCGAGAGAAAGCATCATCCATCCGGATAGAGCAGACAATCCTAGAAAAGATCCAAATGCCGAAGCACAGGAACCTTAAACTGTCTTAAGCTCGAAAGCCTCAGCCGTCGTCGGCCTCAAGGATGGGCAGTGGCGTGGCAAAACATGGCTATGCCGATGCTCTCTTCTACATATCTGTGATCCTCTGCACCCTGGCGATAAATAAATAAACCCTAAACCCTAAACTCCAAACCCTAAACTCTAAACCCTCAACCCTAAACCCCAAACCCTAAACCCTAAACCCCAAACCCCAAACCCTGAGCCCTAAGCCGTTCATCCCGGGGGCCTGGCCCTTGCAGCAAGGAGTCCGAACTCCTCCCCACGTAGATCTTAAGCGCCGGAATTGCTACCCTATTCGGTTTAGGGTTTAGGATTTAGGGTTTAGGGTTTAGGATTTAGGGTTTAGGGTTTAGTCTTTAGGATTTAGGGTTTAGGGTTTAGGGTTTAGGGCCGAAATGAGGGACTGCGACTTGTTATAGGCTGTTCGACAGTATGCAGCATTCTGATTTGGGGTTTTGAGTCCAGGGTGCCGGGTGCAGGGTTGAGGGGCTTTAGAGATAAGAATAATGCGATCTAGTAGCCCTTATATGGTAACTCTTATAGTGACCATAGCTAGAGTTCACGTGCCATAGATGCGAAGCACGGTCTGCAGCGAGTAAGTTCTTCTTGCGATTAGCCTCTTACACTGGAGAGTTGTATTTCGTGACCGGCAAGCACACAACAGTTGCGAGTCTCCTGCTCAAGGTATCTGTACACTGCATCCCTCTAGGAGAAGGATACGCAAAGTAGAACCACGACATACTGGTGATGGTGGTGACGGTTGCCGTCGTCTTTCGTCGTGGTCCTCGTCGTCGTCCTCGTCCTCCTCATCCTCCTCCTCGTGGTGGTAGTGTCGTTGTCGTAGTAGTCGTATTCGTACTCGGCGTAGTGGGTTCGTGGTAGTAGTGGTGGTGGTGGTGGTAGTGGTAGTAGTAGTTGTTGTTGTAGCAGGAGTAGTGGAGCAGTAGCGGTGATGGTGAGATCTCGAGCTTCGCATGGATCTTAGCGAAACGGATGGCTCGTTGTTATGTTGGCCAGGGCTTTGGAGTACCATACTTGAATATTTTTTTTGGGACCTGTTCCTTAATGAAAGTCTATACTTTTTTCTCCCTGGTTACTTCAAAGTCTAGTGGCATTGTGGCAGGTAATCTGGGAGGTGTTTGCTTCATGCGAGCTTTGCAGCTGCTCGGCGGATTTTTGCAAAGCGTTGAGGGTCGCTGGTGTGAGAGATTGGGTGAGAGTTCATGTATCAAGTTCCTCTGGAGTCTGCTATATGTAACACTGTAAGGGTTACCGTATTGATACTATGAATACCATGGTAAGAGTTACTATGATTTACTATACTATAACACACAACACAACTTGTGGGGACCAGTGGGGACCCTCTTCGTAGCAACATAGAAGGTCCTTACCCAGTCGCAGCCGGCTCGCTGAAACCTCGAGGGAACCCGTTGTAGTAGCCCGTACAACAACGTCTTAAATCGTCTCCAAGTAAGCCTTACAGTTGGGAGGTTATATAGGGTTTAGAGTTTAGAGACTATGATATAAGTAGTGGGGGCGGTGATTTCTTGCAATTTGCGTCGATTTCGGGCTCCAAGTTGGCTGCGGAGAGACCGTACTTCCCATGTTACCTTTCGATCAACTCTCATGCCCTTGACTCAAGAAGATTGCACCTTCGGCTTGGAGTTCAGAGTTTTGAGGTTTAGCGGCACGTGCCTTAGCCGTGTGAGGTAATCTTTCTCACATCTCTGACATGTCACATTTTCATTCGCACATTCAACATGATGTATGCACCATATGGATTTCTTCATCTGCATCCGAAAGGCAGATCTGTTGTCGCTTTGTGCGCGTGAGTGTGTGAGAGAGAGAGGGAGAGAGAGAGTGTGTGTATGTGTACCGTGTGTGTACCCAGTGTGTGTGTGTGTGTACAGAAGAGGCGCGGGGGCGGGGGCGGGGGGGGGGCAGGTTGCTTGTTTGTTTGTTTGATTGTTTGTTCAAGTATACGGCTTTATTCTTTTTGTTGGTTCAGGCTTCGCATGCCCAGACGTGCAGCTGCCATCGCGGCGCCAGTCTATCTGATGCCACATGGCAGAGCCGAAAGGGTCACAGAGTTTGTTGCTGTGTTTCGGAGGGTTTGAGGGTTTAGTACCCAGAGACTCCAATACCCCTTAATCAAGGAATATACCTTAAATCAGAGTAGGATCCCTACTCAGATTTAAGGTATATTCCTGAATTTAAGGGGTATAGGAGTCTCTGAGGAATCTCATTATGGTCTGCGGTATCGAATCATCGGGACCTTGCAGAACTCGCAACCCCTTTTATAGCCCCGAATGCCGAAACCCAGCCCCAAACTCCTAAAGCCGAAACCCCTAGGCCTTAAAAAAAAAAACTCATAGCTAAAGCCGAAACCCCGAAGCCCTTTTACATACAAACCTCATAGCTAAAGCCGAAACCCCTAAGCCTTTTATACCCTAAAACCCTAAACCGTAAACCGTAAAACCTCATAGACCCCCAGCTTACGGCTACGGGTTGCCCTACGTCGAGGCTAGAGCTTCCATAGCCCGGTGATCTCGGGCGCTCTCTCTATCAAAGCTTCGAAGATCTCTAATGTAGGGGCCTCAATAATCAGACTTTTTTTTTGTTTTAAGGGGGGGTCCTTATTATATATATATATATACATATATATAGAGAGAGAGAGTATACTATACTCGAAACCCTATTCTAGTTATTCAGGCCCCTACATTACTACAGAACCCTAAACCCTAAGCGATACCCCAAAGCCGAAAGAAAGGCTTACTGTAAAGGGTTCTATGAAGGGTTTCGGGTTTATGTAGCAGACCCCTGGTTAAAGCAGTCCCCCCGGTACTTTCTTGAAAGGCCTTGAGCGTAGCCATCCTGTCGCAATCCCCTTTTTTTGGGTACGGCTTTTTGGGTTTAGGGTTTAGGGTTTAGAGTTTCGGGTTTGGGGTTTAGGCTTTAGGGTTTAGGGTTGAGGGATTTAGGGTAGGGTTTAGGGTTTAGGGTCTAGGGAGTAGGGATTTAGGGTAGGGTTTAGGGTTTAGGGTTTATGGTAGGGTTTAGGGTTTAGAGATTAGGAATTTAGGGTAGGGTTTAGGGTTTAGGGATTACGGATTTAGGGTAGGGTTTAGGGTTTAGGGTTTAGGGTTTAGGGATTTAGGGTAGGGCTTAGGGTTTAGGGATTAGAGATTAGGGATTAGGGATTAGGGATTTAGGGTGGGGTTTAGGGTTTAGGGTTTAGGGTAAGGTTTCGAGTTTAGGGATCGAGGCCGAAGGTCTGGTTTCATCCAACACTCGCTTGAAAGCCCACCTAGGACCTAAAGCCCTCACGTGGCAGCTCTTAGGGTTTCAGAGTATAGGGGGTTGGGTTTAGGGTTTAGGGTTTAGGGTCTAGGGTTTAGGGTTAAGGCTTAAGGTTTAGTGTCAGGGTTTCAGAGTGTAGGGTATTGGGTTTAGGGTTTAGGGTTCAGGTTTTGTTGTTTTGGTTTTCCCTGGCTGACCTTGGGTCACTAACCGTAAGATGTGCAATGCCATGAAAGATAATAAAATTCCTGGCCTCTTATAGTTAATACAACATAATGTACCCCAAAGCCCTATTCTACTCATTAAGGCCCCTACATCAAGTCCAAACATCTTGAAGGTTGGGGTTTCGGGTTCCTTACAAGGTAGCGATGTACAGCTACGAGAATCACGAGAAGAATCCTTCTTGCTACCAAGCACTTGGGGTTCACTTTGAGGTGCAGTGTGAAGTGTGGCCTTCCCGTTTCTGTCAGGGCTGGGCCGGTAGATTGGAGAGACTGGCCGCAGCTGTAGCAGAGGAAGTGTTAGATCCCTTGTCTTGTGATCTCACCGAGGCTCATATTTCTGTCCGATGTCCTGACCTGGCACTACGGACCGAATCGACTTTCCCAAATTCCCATGGGATGCCCGGTCGGAGCACCCTTAAGCTGACCCCCCTAGAAGATATAGCCCCGAAGCCCGAAGCCCAAAACCCTTAGCTGCTGGATTTGGGCCCCTAGAACGGAAAGCGCTGGCCTAAGATATCGTCCTTCCCCCCCTCTCCCATTTTTCTTTCCTACTCTGCTCCTGCGTCATCTGGAGCTGCAGCAGAGCACTAGCATCAACATGAACACCAAGAGAAGTGCTCATCATTATGCTTCTGTATGGGAGGCTGCTCAATGATGAACCGCAAAGAGGTGGCCATCGCCATCGCCATCCGGAGCATCCTCATCGTCACGACATCACCATCATCATCATCATCGTCATCATCTGATGAATCGTCATCATCATCGTCACGTACCTATTTGCAACCAAAACACTAAAGATGCGCCATCCTTCGGCGAACCCCAGCTGCCTTCTAAGCAATAACGTAACGTTCTTCGCATGGGCTAGAGGAGACTGTCTCTGGTTCCCTGGGAAGTTAGGAAGAGCCGTGACAGAGGAGACTGTCTCTGGTTCCCTGGGAAGTTAGGAAGAGCCGTGACAGATTACGAATATTAGCAGACAGCGATATGGGTAGCTCTCTAAACTAGGGTCCTTTTAGGGTCTTTTTTTAAGGGTGCCGTATAATTCTGGGGACCTAAAAGGGGGCCCGAATTTAGAGAACTATCGATATGGATCTCCCGACTCAAGGCCGCGTGGCCCTAAAACTAAACAGCCTCTGAGAGCACTGTCCCAAAGGGTCCTAGGTACTGTTATGGGGGATACTTTCCCAAATCATAATAACAATTCCTAATATAGAAACCCTACATTCTACTATATAGGTACTTTGGACCCTTTGGGTGTGTAAACCTCGAAGACATAAGACTCTCGAAAGCTCGCATCGACGCTAGCCGCCAGCAAGAGCATCGTAACACTGTCAGCTCCATCAGGACCCCCAAACAAGTTGTACGTATAATTCGGAAGTATCTGGAGTAGATGTGGCAGTAATTCCTGTAGTAGTCGTCGTAGTCGGTGTTGTACTTTCCAGAAGCCCGTATTGGGGTTGAGGGTTTTAGGGTTTAGGGGTTTTAGGGTTGAGGGTTTAAGGCTTAAGGTCCCCAAGCCGAAACCCGAAAACTGCAAGCAGGACACAGCAAGTGGCATGCTTTATTAGTGGCCCCGGCGTACGGTGGTCAGAACGTCCTGGGGCTGGAGGGGACGCTGAAAGCCCTTTGGGAACAAAGCGGGTTCGGGGTGAAGGGTTTAGGGGTTAGGGAGCTGTTCTAGCTACTAGAGTAGTGGCCCGAATATACACACCAATATGATTCTGTGGAGTCTTTATGATTTACCATTATGCTATGAAATTCCCCCAGGCCTTGCTGGCCATTACATTCAAGCCCATTAGCCGTAGCCAACAATCCTCCCTGCACATCCTCAAAACCCCAAACCCTCAAACCGTCAAGCCAACATACCCTGGAATCCCAAAGCCTAAACCCTAAAGCCCCCGACCGTAGCTTCAGGTTTCGGAGCCGATAGTTGAGTTACAAGAGGCTCTTCCGGCTTCAGGGGGGGGGTCTACTCCCATGTCATGCACTTTCTCAGTTGGATCGTAGACCCTGAAGTCTTGACTTTTGGACTTTGAACCGTGAGTCCTAAATCCTCAAAGCTGTAAGGTTTCGGGTGCATACACAGCACTAGGCCAGCAAGGGTTTGGTCATGCAGTGCAGCGACCTAAGCGATTGGACGGAGCGTGTGTGTTGGGGGTGATTTGTTGAATCGCAGCTACAATGGTGGGAATTCCAGAAGAAGAGTTCAGCCCTCCGAAAAATCTCGCCGGACCTCCTCAAAAAGACACACTAGGGCACGACATGGCTCGGATGTAAATGGCTCTACCCAAGCTCGAGGCCTCAACTTTCAGACCGTGAGCCCTAAACCCTAGACGTTTCATCAAACGGGTAGTTGTCAAAATTATGGTCCCTTTTGGGGTACCCTAAATAATAGGTGCCGTATTATAATAAGGACCCAAAAGGGGACCATAATTTTGACAACCACCCAAATGTGTCTTTGACCCCAGCTTACAGCGCGCAAGCCTCTTCGAATCTCCAGCTGCCAACAGGGAGACGGGACGAGGACTCCCAACGGCGATGGTTTGGGGTTTAGGGAGAAAGGATGATATTATGTTATGATACAATACACTACATATATATATATATATGTAT